AGAAGTTCCTGCTGCCAAGCATATCCTTTGCCCCACCCCATTTCTTTCTACTGCAGAAAACTTAAATACCATCCATAATTGCAGGCAAATCCCTAAACTGTCAAGAAGCAAAGGCTGAAAAATATGACCTAAACAGAAACTGGAAATTGGAACTTTTTTTGGATGAGGTCTTACTGGAAACTTGTCTTCTTAGAAATGGGTTTGTGGCAGCATTGTAAATAAACCTTATAAATTCCTCACCTTTCTGAAAGGTGGCTAGCAGGGAAGCAATAAATTTTCTGTTTATGACATATTTTAAAGCAAGATTTTAAAAGTTTAACTTTTCAGGTGAAATTGTGTTTCCAGGTGCTCATAAGGGAGCTTCATCTGAACCCTTAAATAGGATTTGGAGGCATAGGAGGTATCCTTCAGCCAGGTCTCAGAAGCCCACAGTAATGCATCTCTGAGAGTTTGACTGCTCAAGGGTGGCAGAATGAACCCTTAGCAACCTCAGCCATGTTCCCAACTTTTTCTGCTCCAGAAGCTGTTCCTGCATATCAGGAGTCTGTGATCAGCACGGTGGCAGTTGACACAGTGGGGACCATATTGCTAATCTCCCCATTTTGCAGCATACATGTGTTCTGCTAAGCATTTTCTGCTCTGAATCAGGATGTTTGGGACTTCAGATCAAATGTTCTTACTGAGAAAGTCAGCCAGCTAATCTCCATGCCAGGAAATGAAGCCATCTGATGTCCTGAGGTGAAGCTATGGGAGGGTGTATGAGTCCAGAACAACTTGAAATCTGTTTTCTAAATAAATCCTCATTGGTTCAGAGTCTTTGAGCAGCATGGGTAGAGCATGTTCTACCACAATCAGTATTGCCTTCTTTTTATTTCCAGGCCTTATCCAGGGGACAAATGCAGAATCTGCTGTTTACTGGTATGATTTTACAGAAATTTATCTTTCTAAAGCAGTTTGCAAAAAATCCTGAGTGCATCTGAAGGCAAGAGAATAATACTTTATAATGGCAAGTTGCAGTTTGCTGTTCTATCTGTGGATCCTGTGCATTGCAATACTAGAAATAACCTGAAGACTGAGAGAAGCTCTGTACTGATTGCTTAGCTTGAAGGATAAACTGCTGTTGGCAATGACATTAACCTTAAACAAATGAAGACTCTCAGCTACATAAGTCTGTTACCATTTTATTTGTCTTGTGAGCACAAAAGGTCTCTATCCTCCAATCTTTTAGGGAATGAGGGAAGTTCAAAAGTAAAACCCCTTTCCTCTGAATTTTGAAGACATTTCTACTGCCTTGAAGCTCGCTTCTGAAAAGAGTACCTCTGTAAGATAAGGACGTGCTGGCACAGACAACTTGTGCTTCCCAAAAACTATACAATTTCCAAATGGAGAGGTGTGAGGAGAATATTTATAGGACTTTGTGTGCGAATGTGCGGTGTCAGTAAAATTTGATACAAAGCTGTCTCTCCCTTTGATGAAGGGAGCTTTTCTTTTATGAAATTTCTAAGCTGTTTTGCAAATGATTCAGGCAGTATGTACCAGTATGTATGAGGCCGTTGCTTATAATGGTTTTATTTAGAAGCAAACCATCATTAAGCTGCTTCTGATTTAACTGCAGACACTGAAGACTTCAGTTTCTCATCTAAGTCTATCATCAAGAATCCTGGTTACTGTCCAGAGGTACTTCTATTCCTCCACTGGCAACAGAAGGCCCCATATGATTATCTTAGTGTGAAGACACATAACATGAGTTGATCAAATCTGATTGCGGCTGGTGCCAAAAGAGAAAGGAGATCCTGATCCCTAGTCTCAGTTCTGCCGCTGACTCCAGTTCCAATGTCAGCTTACCTTGTTCCTGCTCTGGCATCCATCCAGCAGACTCCTTTGTAGTCCTGCTCAACTCAGGAGGCCAGGAGAAAACTAAAGGCATCAGAAAGCTGTTCACAGCTCTCCACAGGTTTCATAAGCTGCACTGGTCCAGTGGAGAGCCCAGTGAGTTGCAGAGCCAGTTCTGTGACATTACAACACCATGATGAGATGGTAAAGATACCTAAGAGCAGTGAGGTCACCTGCTTCTGGTATTTCATAGGAAGTTTGGACAATTTTGGAGGAATTTGCGCAATTTAAAGAAGCAGGATGTAGATACCACATTATGTGGAGCTGCTTGGAGCCCAATAAGGAATTTTTGTGCACAGGAGCCAATTTATCAGGGTAAAGATGCTGAGGAAAGATGCTGAAGTCCCAAGCCACATTTCTGTCAGTTTGTGTAAGGGCTCAGAAGGCAGTGGGTCTGCATATATGGCTTGCACTAGCACAGAGACCAAAAGAACTAACTGTGAACAAAGTTGAGTATATACTAGGGACTTCTGGTGATGCCCGAATACTGTCTTTGCAACTAAGAGATCCAGTTATTACTAGTGAAACAGCAAACCTTCTGCTAATTGGGCTGTCTCTACTACCAAAGCCAAACCTGCAGGACAGCGGGGAAAAGGCAATGAGGGGCACCAAAGTGAAGTCAGGTCACCTCTGCCTCACTCCATACGCAGCTCATAGGATTGTGTTCAGTGCCTGCGTGAGCACCAGCAGCACCATTCTGGGGCCTTAAACCATCTTTATCTTGAGAAACTGGGAGGATTTATGGACTCTATCTGGAAAGAAAGACCTCTGTCTTTTTTGCCTTTGAGGTTTACACTCTTTCTTCCCCTTATCACTAAGAGTTTTGGCAGAGCAGAGAATGAATTTCGCCACCAAAACACTAGACAGCTGTGTAAAAGAAGAAGGATTTTTCCAAGGAGGAAGCTCAAATGTTTCTGCCCAAGGCAGTTCAGGATCAAAAGGAGGACACATTGATTCTCAAATAAAAGCATTTTCAGATGAGAGTCCCTTACTTTTTGGAGTTTTTTAGAAAATGCTTTGCAGATGGCACATCTCTCCGCAGTGTGACTTCTTCTTCCAGACAGAGTTCAGAGGCAATGCAGCTTGAAGATTTATGTTCCAGCTTAGTAAATGAATATATTACAGTGACTACCTCCTAGGTAAATAACAGCAGTTTCCTTATGAAACGATCAAAGGAAGTGCTAACAAAACCCTGCCACTGGCACAATACAAAGCACCCATTTATCAACTATCTGCAATTATTTACACAAGAAGGTCCCGCAGAGCCCAAGGAGGCACATGGTGCCAGCTCTGACCCATGGCCACATAGAGCTGGAGCTGAGGGGCAGTGAGAGGAGCACAACCTCTGTGTCCTGTGGACACAAACCTACATGCAGGTGTTGGTGCTGTTCTGGGGATTCTGCTCAATGAAAAGGTCTGTTTCAAGTGCACTGCTCCATACAGATCAATAGCAAAACATGTGGATTTGGTGAAACATAACAGAGAAGCACACCTTCCAGAAATTCAGGCAAAATCCCTACATCCTAACTACAGCTTCCAGATGTATATTGGAGCACCTAAAATTTATTACTAAGATGAAAATCATATTCATTTACTGTGCTCTGTCCTGTCTTTTCTGGCTGTGTTCTCACCATGATTTATGTACAGAACTTGTGCTCAGTTAAATGAATGAAAGCTACGTATGTGAAAAGATGAGATACACAATTCTTGAAGTTAACCATGATCAAGTCCTGTCTAGTGTAAAACTAAGCTTGTTTTAATAAGAGCTGTTAAATAATAATAAATTGTGTCAAAGTTATATGTTTACCCTAACAACTATCTTATGAAAAGGCACTTCGTAATTTTCATTATTTGTGCATGCTTATTAAATGAATACAAATAACACATACAAACACATATGCAGTGATCGGGGCAGTTCAATGAATGGCAGTGTGGCATAAGGAGACATTTAACAGCAACAAGTTGTAGATGGCATGACTTGAAACGTACCTCGTCTCATTTTGGGATGCTGGTTCAGTAGTAATGCAACGGGAAGAGGGCTGCCTACTGAACCAGCAGTAAGATCTTCCCTACATAGAAATGAGGGGTTTCACTCTAGGTCTTCTCTCAAAATGCTGACTTCCTATTGTGCATTTCTGTGAAACAGGGTCACAGTCTCGAGGGCAGTTTGACATTCATGTGTACGCACTTCAGACTGCTCCAGCAGGAATAAATGCCAGTGCTTTTGGGAAAGGATGTGGTTTTCATTTCAGTGTGAAAACCCTTATCAATGTGCTAACATGTGTGAAGCCTCAGGAGACTGTTTGGCAGGAGAATTATATAGAAAAAAATTACAGTACAGCCTCATGAGAAAGGAAATCCGTGGCAGGTGGGTTAAGTACAAATATCTGAACAGTACATTGCTATATGATTAAAAAACCTCTAACAGTACTGTCTTGGTGCACAGAAGTAGTAAGGACCCAATTCCAAGCCTAGCGTAGTTAGGAGCAAGGTGCCCACCAAGTTAATGAATTCTGAATCAAGAACACTTTTGGAATAAAAGAGGGGCTGTAACTGGATAAGCCAGAAAAAAATGTGTTGGCAGAAAATTCTTTTCACCATCAGTAATGAATTTGTTGACAGATATTGTGTTGAACTGCACATGGACATTGCCTGTACATGAGTGATTTAACCAAAAAATTACAACATACACCCTTTCAGAAGACTATACGACGAAAATAAATATCATGGTGAGAACAAAGCACCTCTGAGCTCCACAATTCCTCATGTCTCAAAGGAGACTTAACGCTAAGAAAACTTACAGCTGAAAATTTCATGGCTATGCTCTCGTAGATTCAGTGTTAACCAAGAATAACAAAAGCGCTGTTGTACCTAGAAGAACAGCTTTAAGTAGCAAAGCAAAATAATTACCGGGCTAGTTTCTCCACCATGTAAGGCGGCTGCAGAGATTCAAAGACAGGCTAATTCTGCAGGCTGGATTTTTTATTTTCATTTAAACTACAGCTACCAATGAAGGGGAAGGGTTTCAGCAAAAGAGAAAATAATTTGAGATTATATTTACAAAAACGATTTGAAATTTACAGAAAAAAGTAATTTTGAAAAATTACCTAGGGGTTGTAACTATACACGGTTGTTCTTATCGGAGCGCACAGTTAGGAAGCGGCCGGCCTAACCTGTTTCTCCTGAATGCAAATTCTTCAGTGACGCAGTGGAACGGGGTTGTATAATGTCCGTGCTGGAAGGGGATGGGCAGCGACAACCTCACAGTTTGCATGCTGAAGGAACAGAAGTCTGGCAACTGTGTAAGCACAGTTAAAACCCCTGACTGATCAAATGCCCCTTTCATAGCTAAGGCAGGGAGCAAAGTGCAGAGATCGGGAAAGACAAAAGTTGTAGTCACAGCAGTGAGGTAACTCTACAGCTGTGGGGAAATGGGATGGACTCATTTTACCGGTGTCTGAGTCTGCTGGGTGTGCTATTTCTGTGGACAAAACACAGTGGAAGGACAGGACAAAACAAGACAGTATGTCACTTTTCCGATGTTGCTGCCTCTGCTTGATGGCTTCATCTTTTCTTATTTAACTTGTGAAGTGTAGAAAAGTGGTCCCTCTTGCACCACTTTTAAAATTTTGTTAACCCATCTTCTATGACATCCAACAGACACCTGGTTTCAGAAGAGTTTGTTCTTCCAGTCATAGTCTGTTGAGGTGGATTTGAGCTGATGTGCAGCATCTTAGACTCCCGCTTTCTGCTTCTATATAGTGAGCTTGGAGAGCCAGACCTGAAATCAAGCACATCTCTCTTTCTATAATCTTCTATGATCTATGATCATCTGCTTTCCTATGATCCTTGTGCAAATCAGTGATTGCCCCCCCAATAAATGTATATTTGTTTATCATTATGAATGCAAACACCACAATTCAGGGACCCCTTGTTATAAAACCTATAATCTCTGAGGACATTTAGTTTATCATAATAAACCAGATCCTTTTCAGTCAGCCATGCCTGACAATGCTGAAGTTGGTTTTAGCCACTTGTTATTTCCATAAATCTACCATTTAGGTTCTAAATTGTGGGTTCTGTCCCAGCAGCCTCAATGAAAATCAGTAAAAGTTTTCCTTCTACAGTTGAAATAAAACTTACCACAATAGCATTCAGTTTTGTAACTTTGTAGTTGATTGTCATCATTCCTAGTCATAGTGATTAGACATTCCCAGCCTATATGTATGATCAAGGATGTTTCAGAATAATGTATGTAAATCGAGTTTTATTGATCATTGAACATCTGCTGGCACTTAAGTATGTGGACACATGAGCATGAACATAAGCTTTGCAAGTTTGCATTTTTTATGCCTATAAAATTAGAATTTATAATAAAATAGAGCATATTATGTTTTCTTTATCACATTCATAAAGTGATGTAAGCAAGGGCTTGGATTACAAGACTGCAAAGACTTGGGGTTTGTGATTTATGGAAGAAAAAATCATTACTTTTCCCTTACAACTGACACCATTTAATTGCATTTTGCCTGCTGTGGTAGAGGGGATGTGCAAAGTAAAAAATGCTATAAAATACTGTTTTCTTACAGTGCATCCATTGTCAAAGGTGATGAGCAAATGGCTTTGTCCAGATTTCTGATCATACAGTTTTGATCCATCTTTCCAACATTAACTGAGAACACGACTGTGCTGATGCAGACGCTTTTTATAGTGTATGCACTTCACACACAATTCAGACAGATACTCAAACCGTTCTGTCTGAATACTGCTTGAGCAAGGATTTGCGAGGGGGAAAAGGTTAGTACTGGAAAGAAATAAAACAACAGGATGTGCATCCTTTATGGGTGGGGGTTCTGCACAGGGGGTGGGTGCTGAAAAATTATGTTCTTGAATGAAAATGTGTCTCATAGAAACAGAAAGCAGCTCAAAAGAAAGAGCCTTTGTCTAATTTCCCAGAGTTATCAAGCCTCTTTCATGTGGCCCAACCTGATAAAATTCTCTGTTTCCAAAATCAAACATGAGCTAAACCAAACACACTATCAGCATGTCCAGGCATGGGAGCAGTAATGCTCTGCTGTCTGAGTTTACAGACCTCCTCTACTGGCATAGGTCTGACCAGCTCCAGGTTTGAGCAAAGGGACTCCTGAACCACATGTTAAACACAGGTTTTGCTAGGTAAGGATTACCTGGAGAAGTCAAAGTGTACTGGAAGATGTGACTGCAAGGGCTCATAGGGGCTTGAGGTATCTGAAGTGAAGAAAGAACATATTTATGTTCAAGACAGACTGTAAGAAATGGTGACCTATAATGCTTATCCCACTTAGCTAGCTAAATCAGACTGTAAAACACTTGAGTAAGATGATCTTTCATGAATAACAACTAACAATCCCCCATCCTTACTTTTTAGGATGCAAAATGACTGTGAAAACCAACAACATGCTGTTGCCCCTTTTTTTAATGAGACATTCACCCTTTAGTTGCCATCATGACGATGATGATAAATTCCCAGGATAATTCTCCCTCACAGCTTTTCTTTCCTACCCCCACATGTTTCCAGTGCTGAATCACTGCCGCTCAGGAGCAAGGATTTAAATACTATAGACCAAACTGAAGAGGTTAAACACAGCATCCTGACTCCTGCGCAGGGAGCTGCTATGCCAGGGTTAAGGAGTGTGTCACTTAATGGTCTCACTAGAGGGCAGCCGATAAAACCTCTAGTAATAAACTTGCAGGAGTTTTATGTCTCTTTTTTTTTTTTTTTATCCTCTGGAGTGTGATGGATATAAAATTCCCCGTCCCCGAAATTGCTTTCTCTGAACACTTTCCCTGGTGCTTTGCGTTTGGTTCGTCCATGTAGAGCTGTAGGGTAGGATCCACTTCATCTCTGTGGAACTCCACAGGTGGTAATAAATTGCAGTCTTCAGCGCCTCAAGGTCCTCTCACCTCTGGTTTCATAAATGATTCCCAGTACCTGTCCTATCCTGTAGCACCAAAAGAGAAGTATGCTATAGGCTTTCCAGAGAAACACAAGAACAAGACCTCAAGAGCTTCCAAGTTAAATACATTCTCTGAATTCCATACATTCGTCATGTAGTTTTTATTAGGAAAAAAATTCACTTACAAGATTTTGTGTGGTTCTGAGCTGAGATACATTTTCTATTCCTGTAGAAATGTCTTTATTTACTTGCTCATGTATCATACTGCTATGCAAAAAAAAAAAGAAAAACTATGTGTTTTCTCTAATCTTCATGCACCAAGAGCAATGTCTATCAGAAACTGTCCTTTAAAGCATAAACTGTTTTAGAAATAAATACCACTTAATGTTAATAAAGCGCATTCCTCTGGCTGTGGCTGCTAAACACTCTGCTTGGTGCAGGAGTTCATATTTTAAGTAATTCTGACTTCCCTAAGGCAACTAAATGTATCAGGGCCTACTGTAATGTCCTAAATCCAATCCTGTTTTACGATTATGTATTCAAACCCCCCATTTTCTTCAAAAGAAAAGACAAAAAATGCTAAGCTGGAATTTCATAGGTGAAGGTTCCTCAGAAAAATCTTGTTGATGAAATTGAATTTACTGTAGAAGTTTCCATTTCACATCAGCACAGTGAACAGCATTTGTTTTTCAGTACCAATATAGCTAAGTGAGCAATTAAAAACAAATTTTCTGCTTATTGTGCTTGCACAACAGCTGCACTTAGTTTGCAGTTTCACCAGATATATTAATTACCCAAACATAGTTAACATTTTTTGCTCATGAGGGTAGTAACTTGAGTCTTTGTTTCTTAATGCTCAGTCCTCTTTGCTGTGTGTGTATGTGCATGTGTGTGTGTTGCACACACAATTCCTACTAAACTGATTTTGCCCATAATTACAAAGATCCTATAATACTGCCTCTGCTCCCTGCTTGGGTGATCCTATCTCATCCATCAGGAGAACAGGTTGAAGATACTATCAAGCAGTAGTTTATGGAGCAGAAACAAATAATACATGATCAGAAAATGTTACACTGCTTTACTCCTTCTCCACACCCCACAGACTTTTCTCTGACCACCCCCTTAGACCCTGAAATGGTAAAATAAGTTGCTTGGGAGAGGAGTTTGATTCAGCTCTTAATCACTACACTCACACAGAATAATTGAATGCACATGCAGGGTCTGGTTTTGGGGGTTACAGCCAGGCCCTTATCTGATTCACCTGAAGGTCTTCTTGGTAGGGAATTGGCAATGAATTTCAAAAGCCTCCTTCCTGCCTTGCTTCAAGCAGTTTTCCACCTCGAGGCAGGGTTGAGTCAGAAGCAGTTTCAATTGTTCATGAGCTATGTAGTGGATACTTTTGGCACATTTAAAGGATCTTCAAAAGCTGAGGTCAGTAACTTGCTGGGGTTTTTATATGTTTATAAACATTTAAATTTTTATTAGCTGTAGTACTCATCTGGTATATGGGAGACTATTGTGTGTTTATTAGAACTTAAGGAACTGGTGCTTTGTGTTTAGTTGCTTTTGTTCTTAAAAAGACAAGGATAATGCAGAGCTTACCAAAGTCTCTACCATGGCTCCAACTGTGATTGCAGCAGTCACCCAGCGGGGTGCCACTGTGGAGGTTTAAAACCCCAGCAGTCTGCCTGGCTCCATCCCTCAGCTGCCCAACAGTGTGGATGCAGCTCATGACTTGTTTCCAGGACCAGCTGCAGCTACAAATCTGGGGATTTTTTCACAAATCCTTTTTGCCGTGGTAATCTTGCACTGTACGACTGTAGCAGGAACAGTTGTCTTGAGTCATGCCCAATCCCTCCCTCTCCCCTTCTCCTGACCTTGCTTTGCTAAAGCATGAAAGTTCTATGGGGAATGGTGCCCTATGCCAAAGGAATCCTCCCCAGTGTCTGGGGCCCCTTTCACACAGCTGGGACAGGGAGTTTGCGTGGCCAGCAGCTCAAAAGCCATCTGACCTATTTCCCTTACATATGAAAAATGGTTTCATATAAACGGACCAGAACTCAAGCTGAAATTTCCATGTACATTTAGCCTGTTCAGGTGCTAACTTCCTGTTGGAAAGGTTGGGTACCTACTACATTCATGGCAGTGCTCAGGCTTGGGCTCAGCCTTGCGGAGCCTCAGGTCTGACACCACCTATGTACTCTCTGTACATCCAGGGAGCAGCCTTCCTGTAGTAGTTTCCCCAGGGACTCTGCTGATTTTGGGTGCAGACCATTGTGCCACATGCAGACCTAGATTTGGGCTTCCACATGACTTGGTGCTCAGGAAGAGTTTGTCCATGCATGCTCTGTCAGAGCAAGTCGGTGACCAGAATAGGAAATAAACCACAGTAGTCTTGACTGCACAGCTCCACATCTGGAAACACAGACATGTCCTCAGAAGAGGGGCCTTGCTTGCTTGGCTGGAGAGTGAGGTGACACTACCTCCCAGGTTCACGGCAAAAGAAGGAATGGCTCTCTGCTAAGCATGTTTCATTAACTCAGAACACATGCCTACATTTATTTAAACCATATGGATGCATTATATATCTTTATTACGTTTCATATGACTGAGGCCACCACAAACGCTTGCTATGCATCCTCACATATTTTAGTTTCCTGAAGCAATTTTCTCTTATGTTTCAGTTAAGTACAAGCTCCACAAAACACGTTTTTAATTACAAACGTGGGTTGCCTTATGCAGTATGATGTGTTCCCTCTGCGCACTCAGTTAAACGTCTGTTGTGAAACAGTCATCCATATAGTGGTATTTTATCTATAAACTGTCTGAAATACAAGCCTCTATAATTAAACATTGATTACAGCTTAGATTCTGCAAAGAAAATGCTCAGTTTTGGGAACAATGTTTTCCATTCCTTGTAGGTGCTCCATAACATGCTAACGACCTATTAGTTTAATTGGGAATACTCACATGCTTTCAGTTAAGCTTGTGCTGAAGTGATTTGCTATGTCATGGTAAACATACCTTCTCATAGCACTGAAGTAGGCAGTAAAAATCTCAGTGATTAGGCTCCATTCCATCTTTATGTCTATGAAAGAGCATGCTGGCTCCTACCAACCACAATAAAACCTGGATTGACACTCCCAGTTCACTGGTGCAGAAATCTTTGAATCCCTAAAAAAACACGTTTGTACCAAGTTCACTTTCATATTGGCTTTAAACAAGTAATACACAGACAAAAGGGTATGCTATTTATTACAGCTTTTCAAACCACTGTTTTCAATAATGGTCTGTATTACTTTCCAAATATCTGCACTGGGAAAATAATGACAGGGTGAGAATGCAGAATGCACTTATAATAGGAAGAAGAGTAACAATCAAATTCAGAGACATGCTGTTGTTTTCAGGGGTGTCTAAAAACTTTTCCTTTTTGTCAGTCTGCCACAAATGCTCACTTACAATTAAGATAGATAGAGGGTGGCTCAGTGGTTAATAAGCCCATTAGCCGGTAATTCTTGAACAGACAGTAAGGAAAGATGTAAACTGATAAAGAATTAAGTTGTGGAAGGACTAAAGGCAATGCAGTGAAGCCTCCCCATCACTTCTCACCATACTAAGTAATCTCCATCACAAAGTGACTGCTCTGATTGGATTGATTTTACCTCTAGCAGAATTGATGATACAAGGTGCAAAGAAGTAAAGAATTTGGCCCAAGAGACTTTTAAAAGCCTGCCAGCCTAAAGCAATGTGGGAATCATCCTGTGTTTGTGACTACATCTTCACAGATCACTTAATTATACTCCAACATGAATAGAGCTGCTGTCTTAAATGCTGTCTATAACAAAACAAATGTTTATCACTGCTGCACACTTTAAAGCAATGCCAGATTATTGTTCATTTATTAGTGTTAGAGTATCATCACTAGGTTACAGTGCTGTGAATGTGCCTGATGAGCACAGCAAACTTAATCTATGGAGCTGCCTCCCTCAGGTGCCTAAATTAAGTACCAAGGGTGGAGGTTCCCGAGATTTTTCAGTGGAGAGGGCAGGTGAAACAGTACATTTAAGCTATATTTCTGCCCTCATTCAACTTGGTAGACAATTAAATCCATCAATTAAACAAAGACTAGCCTTTTGACATTAGTGTCCCCTCTGGCTGAGGAAGGTCCCCCTTAAGCCCATCCTAAACAGCTCACAGCTTAAAAGTGAAACTAGGCGTGGGTAGAGTTGAACATCAAACTGTACCTGTCTGTTGCCAAGGTGGATTTTAGACTTAAAAGTAGATCTAGATACTGTGTCTTCCTGATGGATGCTCCTATCTGCTAGCCAGGTTAGTTATTGCTGTCAAATTTGAGTTACAAAGCCGATGCCCTAGTCTGGTCACACTTTGCTCTTTTCCTTACCTAATCTCCTGCTCACATCTTCATCCAGAGAGGGACCAGGAAGAGGCTGAGGTGATGGCTTTTGAAGGGTCCACAAGATTCAACCAACATTGTCATTTCCACAGCAGAGATCTGGCACATCATGCACAGCATCCTTACATCAAGAAGCAAGACATGCCAGAGACTGAATACAAGGCACTGTGTAAGTTGACCAGGCACCTGCAGTACTCAGCTCTGCCAAACTGAGAGAAATCGTGACTACAGCTGCTGCCCTCACACCATCACTCACAGCATCTCCCTCCAAGGGACCCTCTTGGCCTTGGTGGCCCCACATCAGTGATGGCCATGCCTAAGGGGAGGGTTGGCCAAGAGTTATGTCTCTCACCCCATGGTGCTATGGGGCTCCCCCCCACAGCCACAGGGATGTCTGATGAGAAAGAAAGTGTCAAATGACTATAAAAATGGACTGCAGATGTCACACTCTGTTTTCAGTGTTTCGAGATGTGCAAGCTATCTGCAGGTGTGTGCCCTCTAGAGAGCACGTAACCGTCTCATTTCCTGTTCCTGTGCTCCAGTTGCAGAGCAGGTGGGTGCATCCCTGAAAACCTCTGGTGCAGCACAGGTTGTGCCCAAATCTCCAGACTTGCCTGGAAACCCCATGATTTCAAGTAAGTCTGCTATGCTTCTCTCAAGGTTGGGGTGTTAGCCTAGAGGACAGTGACTGCATTGAGGTGACACACATTTGCATTGCAGTGATTGAACATCATATTGCAGCTTGTATGCTGGAGCAGTCAAAGCTCAGGGGTGACTGGATTTCAGGAATGAAATAGAGTAGTGTTTGACGTCCTTTTGCCCCACACAGGAGATGTTGCAGCAGATCTAGGCAGGGTGTTTCCACTGGCAGCATTTTATAGTGCAGCTTTTCTATTCAAGCAGTGGCTTACCTGGACAGTTAGCACTTCTCTGCTAACCTGTAACCAGCTGATTTTGTGAGGGCAAACTCTGATAAAGCCAGGGTAGTTATCCTATGCTTACAAAACAATAACACAACAGGACCAGTGTTTGTCTTTAGGACCCCCCACAAGCTATTTTTACCTGGTAAGACTTGGTCACTGTAGGGCACATTAAGTTAGAATCACAAAAACAGGTGGACTTGGGTTCTGGGTATTACCTGTTTCTTATCATAGAGAAATAGCTCATGGCTTTCCCAAGAAACCAGTGCTCTTTAGGCAGTTCTCACATCCCACAGAAAACTAGACAAACCAGCCTGGAGTGAAGCTAGGTAGACAACACAGTCATTGAAGCTAGAAGTAAGAGGCTTCAATGGTTTTGGTTCCTCTGCCATACAGGAAACAAAGCTTTGCATACCTATACTTCACTCAAGTGTTTCAGGATTATTTTTGTCTCCAGAGTTAGACCCCAAGATAAGAAGCCGATGGATTTATGTGCTCTGAAGCACGTAGCTGTATTTTAATGCTTGATTAAAACCTACAAGAACTCTAGTGACACCAGCAACTAAATAATGCTATTTATTTATAAATAATTCACAAAACATTATTTAAAGTGGTCCTGATTTTCAGGATTACGGAGGGGGGGGAGAAGAGTACACGGATGCCTTTTAATGTATTCAAGGCAGATACCTGGAAGTGAGGTAGCAGAAGTCACAAGTTAGATGGAATACTAATACAGAAAGCAGAAAAACATATTTTTGAGAATCATTTAGTTTTTCAATGAGGGTTGTAATAAATGAACAGAAAATGGAACAAACACTCTGATTCTTGCAAGTCATCTCTCCTAGGGCTTCCCCACCTGCTGTACAGCAATAAAGCCGTCAGCATTTAAGATACTTATTTTGTGAACAGACAGATTTTTCAGGGTTTTGCTTTGTACATTTTGGTTTCCCTTGCAAAGCAATCTAAAGAAACTCACCAGGTGGAAGACCAAAACTTCTTAGGACTCAATGCAGGAGACTTCAATGTTGCATTTGTAGTGCTGATACAGACAGTCAGAGGTTTTGTGGGATCCCAGCTTGTCACTTCTGTTTTGCTCTTGCCTCTTTAGAGTTTAACGATACTATGGATCTTGCCTGCAATTCGTTTGCTATGTTCTCCTGTATTAGAAACAAGGGTGGTTTGTCCAGCAGGGAGCCTGCGGCAGCACAGGGCTCCCTCCCTTCCTCTGCTTACACATCACGTACGACCTCTCTAAGCCTCCCTGGAATGACATTGGTGCTAAAAGCAATCTGTTCTGCTCTGAACCATAAACAACACTTTGAAATTCATCTAAAATCTGCCTCCTTCCTCTCTTTTTAAACTATTTTATGTTTTTATGTTACGTATTTTAAACATTATTTTATGATGTTTCCTTCCAACTTCATTTCTTGATTTCAATCATCTGCTACTTGAAGTAACAACTCTCCTTGAAAAGGAAACATAATCATGTTTCACTCTGGTCTCTCATGTCCTGTAGAGTTTTCCAGCTATTTCTAGCAGAAGTAACAAGAGTTTGCAGGATCCTAGCAGGATCCATAGCAGCCATAAAACCCAAGGGGTAATATTTCTCAAAGCCACACTGATGCTAAGAAAATGCAAGGGCACAGGAGAGCTTTCCAATGTGCTGTTTATGATAGACCAAGATGTTAGATGTCCAAAGCCTTAATCGTGTTTTCTAGACATATTTAGTTTCTGCTAGGGAGAGCAGCATGCCCATTTCCCAGCCATGTGCATATGATTGTGCTGGCATCTCTGGCATTCTGCAGAGTCCAAACCTGCAATTAAGGGATTTACTCCACGTTAGCCGAGAAGAACAAAGCTTTCAGGTATG